CAACAACATGCAATATAACAACCATTGTTGAATTCCTACCATCTTGATTAGTGAAACTATGTATCATTTCTAATTTTTAATTATTTTTTATTCTCTTTAATTGTTTGATCAATCTTGTATTGTTACATCTGGTAATCTGAGCAACTTTGTTGAAGATAACAGTATGTAATGTAACAACCATTGTTAATTTTCTATCATCTAGATTTGAAATTCTGTATTGTTTTTATTGTTTGTGTGTAGTTTTGTTCTTATCTTTGTTGTTCTGTTTTCTTTTCTCTTTAAAAAGTTAAAACATTTATTACAGTAGAAGATACATTGCCATTAATTTCTCTCAAAATTGTGCCCCTCCCACCAAACATGCTTATCCTATTTTTCTTGTCACTTTCATGAATGTCTTTTCACTGCTGCCTCAGTGTCCTGAATTGATTCTAAAGGTTTATGGGAATTTTGGTCAAATAAAAACAGGGCCAGATCTGTCACCATTTGACTTCTGGCTCTTCCCCAAAGTCAGCATGACCATGAAAGGAAAATGTTTTGAGTTGATTCAGGACATGAAGGCAGCCAGGACAGAACGACTAAAGACCTTCAGGAAAGAACACTCCAGAGCTGCTGCAGAAAGCGGCAGGGATGATGGGATGAGTGTGTGTAAAATAAGGGGCAGAATTTTGAGGTGGACTGATGGCAACGTGCCTTTTCTGCAATACATTTTTAAACAGTCTCCGTATTTTGTCATGCCCTGTAGAGCACATTTTCCTTATGCAGTTATTCAGAACACTCTATCATAGATTTAATTGTTTTCTTGCTCAAACTTTGGATATGATTTTAACCATATTATTTCAAGTATATATTTTCTGTTGTCTAAGGAAAAGTGCTACACATTGAAAGTAGCCAGAGGACAGTCCGCAAGGGTTTCCAGTTTACATGCACCGTGGTGGGGCGGGGTTGGGTATGTGGCCCACCCACAGTTCTGACCCCCAATCATTGAAACAGCCTTGGCACATAAGCGTCATCAGCAAGTGAGTGAATGGAGGTGACCTGGGTGTGAGACACAGGTCTATTAAAAAGTGCCAGCTCTTAGCCGAGAAAGTACAAGAACATAAATCACATGTTGCTTTACATGGAAATTACCCATTAAATTTTAATATCGACCGCAGAAGCACCCCCCACCCTTCTCCCATTACACTTCGAGGGGAACATTTCTGCCTCCCGGCAAGGGGGCCTCTACCCTGGGAGGAGGGAGGGGTTGTAGATTTGTTTGCCTCATTCCCCAAAGTGATATAAAAATAGTAAAGGTAGTCAATGGTGATTGATGAATTTCAATAACATAAATAATGGTTGTAATTGCAATTGAAAGAGGAATATTTTCCACTTTGATTAATCTGACCCTCTGGGCCACCATTAACAGAGAGGCATGCTGGGAATGGCTAATCAGGAAGTGGAAGCGGAGGGCCGGGTCCGCCACCAGCGCCCACTCTGCCGAGTCCCAGCGACGCCCTTGCTCTCTCCCCGGCCAACCCACCTGGCTTTTCCACCGTAGCCCGGATGACGCCTCTGCCCAAGAGAAGACATTACACAATGCATCACCCCCAAACCCCACTCTTGGGGCCATGGCCTCTGTGGAACACCTGGCTGGTGCTTTGAATGCTGCCCTCGGCCACGCTAAAGCTCTGTGCGGGGGACTTGGCTGGGCGGCTGATCGCTATCCCCACTCCCAGACGATGAGGTGGAGAGACGGATCTGTTAGTGATGTCCCCAACCGGAGCACAGGAAGCAATACCAGAGGGGATGTGCCCCCAAACCCCACATTTCTGGGTCGCTCTCGACGTGCTCCTTCCCTGCTCTTCGTCTTCCTGGCCTTCCTCCTGCTCCCCAGCCCCCATACCTCCTTGCACCATCTCTCTTCTAACCCCGCCCTCCTCCTACCCCATGTACCCCTACTGCAGGGCTGCTGCTCTTCTGAACTCCCATTTAGGTCTCTGCAGATGCCAAATCCACGTGTGTGTGTGTGTGTGTGTGTGTGTGTGTGATGCTGGGGCCCGAGCCCAGGGCCTCCAGCCTGAGCTACATCCCCACCTCATTTTCACTTTGAGACAGGTTCTCCCTGTTGTTAACTTGCCCAGCTGGGCTCGTCCTTGCCACCTCCTGCCTCAGCCTCTAAGAGTTCTGGGATTCCAGCTGTGCAATACCACGCCCAGCTCTGAGTTCCTTTAAAATGACAGCGGCAGGTCTTGAAGCCAGGGCGGCAGGGACAGAGTCCAGGGGCTGGAGGCAGGGCCAGCACCCCGCCTGCTCTCTCAGGGGGAGGGGCCCGGCCCAGTGCAGTCTCCAGGCGGTGTGGGGGCACAGCGGGGCCTCCTGGCAGCTTCCTCCCAGAGCCTGTTCCCAGCACCTTCCTGCCTGAGCTGACCCTGGAACTCACGCCCCACCCAAGACGCGCTGAAGGGCTTCTCTCAGGGAGCACACTCCCCGCCTAGCCGGGAAGAGGTGCGGAGAAGAGAAAGGCTGGGCTTTCTGTTGGGCCTGGGACACAGACCGACAGCTGGGGCAGGTACCAGGAGGCTCTGGAGGGATGGCAGCCCTGGGGAGCAATCTTGGGAGATGCAGCTTCCAGGCTGCCCCCAATCTTGGAAATGCTTTTCTGGAACTGAAATTACCTGGGTCAGCCAAGTATGGTGGCCCACACCTGTCATCCCAGCACTTGGGAGGCTGAGGCAGGAGGACTGCCTTGAGTTTGAGGCTGGCTTGGGTTACATAGTGAGACCAAAGCCAGCTTGAACTACACAGTGAGACTATGTCTCAAAAAAATCCAAAAACGGGGGCTGGGCATTTAGCTCAGCGGCACAGTGCCTGCCTGGCAAGCGCAAGGCCGTGAGTTTGGTTCCCGGTACCGGAAAAAAACAAAACAAAACAAAACAAAACAAAACAAAACAAACACCAGACAGGCATAGATGACACATCAAAAAGAGTACTCTCTGGGGAACGTGCGCGGGACAGCCTTCTCCGGGTCTGAGGGAGGTGCAAGTGTGCGCTTCCCTCCCGCCCAGAAAGCCGAGCTCTGGGTCTCTGTGAGGGACGCAAGCACCGCTTGAAGGAAGGAAGCTCGTGTTTAACCAGTTTATTCCCCGTACGTAATGGTGCTGTTTAACGGCTCCGTCAGTGCCGAAGCGGTCTAACATCTCAGCAGTAAAAAGGCGTGGGGAGCACCCTTTCGAGACTGTGCTCCACATTCACCGCCGACCCTCACTTACCCCTCTGGCACCCTCCTTCTGCACTTGGCGTCGATCCTCGCTTGAACCCGGGTCCGAGATGCCTCCTGGGGCCCCGCAGTTCTGCTGGGTTTGAGAGCCGAGCCGCTGTGCCTTGGAGAGAGCTTTCCCAGCAGCGCCGCGGCCGCAAAGCTCTGGCCCGGGTTCTGACTTTCAGCGACGAGACAAGAGGCTTCCACTGCGCCACGCTCCGCGCTCCAGCGCCTGGCTGAGCCCATCTCTGCGTTTTTAAAACAAGTCCCGACCGTCCCTGTGGTGGATGAGTCCGCATCTCCGCGACCGCTTCAGCGCTGCGCGCGGTTTCTCTTCGTCCCTCCCTCCTCACTGCCGCCCCTTGTGATTGTGGTGGCGCTCCTCGCGGGGCCCAGGGCAGACGTGAAGTTCTCGCGGACTTTGTGTCCCTCTTGCGTGGGCTGTCCTCCAGTTACAGGAGGTGAGCGGGTGTTTTTACTCCCCTCTGGGTCTCAAAGCCGGCTCAGAGCAGCCCCACGCCCGAGTCCCATTGCTGTCCGCTGTGGTCTCCCGCTCAGGAGTCTGTGGCCTTCTCTGCTTCCCTGGGGACACCGCTGATCACAGCAGCAGGGACAGAGGCTCAGGCCTTCTGCAGACGACTCCAGCAAGCGCGGCCAGCACCTGTGAGAGCTTCGCAGGCGGCTGTGGAGAAGCCCGCGCAGGCCTGGGCAGTCTGCTTCCCAGGCTGTGTCCCTGGAAACGCCCACTTGTTGCCTGTTTTCCCGCCAAGCCTGTTCCAGCTGGTGGCCTGGCGTCCTTTTTTGACCCTGCCTGGTAAAACTGGACAACAACGACCCTCCCTCCACTGCACTGTGAGAAGTACTCTCTCTTGCCCAAACCCGAGGAATGGCTTGGAGGCACAAAGCATAGTGAAAGTGAGAATTTAACGATGGTCTTGCAAGCCTGAGCGTCTTGGTTACTTTTCTCTCGTTGCTTAGACAAAATACCCCACACCCAAATTAAAGAGGGAAAGGTTTATTTAGCTCACAGTCTGTGGAGGTTTCAGTCCATTCTTGGCTGGCTCCAAGGCAGAGTGGCACGTCGCAGAGGGCAACAGTTCACGGTGTGGAAAACAGCAAAAGCAACAAGAGCAAAAAGGGAGGAGCAGCGGAGAGCAAGGCTGTTTCCCTCCCTTACATTGTATGCAAACTACCCCCCCTCCCGCGTGGGTGTAGCACTTATACCCATAATCCCAGCATTGGACCATGGATCAGTCAAAAACGCTAAAAGCCCACTCCATGACTGCATGAGGCTTGCGGGGACATCTACACACAAAGCATAACACTGAGTGTCTGGTAAGCAGGCACAGCCAGGGCAGTTCTGACAAGCATTTTATTCCCCAGCGCACAGCTCTCTCCAACCAGGGCCTCACTGGCTGAGTACTGCGGGGTGAACAGTCTTCCTGGACATCACTTAGTTTTTATCATTTCCACATAGGGTATTCTTTTCTCTCCTCTCTCCACTCACATCTACATTTCTCCACAAAGACTTTCTTAACAGTTTATTTCTCCCGCAAGGTCCTGTTTGCTGAGGAGCCTTCCAGATGCCGAGCTCTGTCGTGTCCAGAAGCTGCCAGGCAAGATTAACTGCTAGTAATTTTCTACAAAGAGTTAGCCGCTTTGACTTGAAAGCGGACCACTCTGAGTTCGTTTCTTTTACAACATACATGCTTATAGTCTGTAAACGTTCTCAAAAGCCAACACAAAACGGCGAGCACCCTACCTTCATATCCAAGAGGAACATTGACCATCCCCAGAATCTGCTCGCCATCAATCACTTCCGCTCCCACACTGGAGGGTATGAGGTCAACCAGCGTCATGATGTCCCCATTGGAGAATGACAGGTTGTTCAGAGACCCTGAAAGAAAGTCACTCCAGAAGCTGAAGTTATGTTCAAAGATCGGTGTGTACCTAGTATTTCCATTGGTAAATAAACACTTTAATTCAAACTTGTTAAATCTGACACAGAAGACAAGTGAATTCTCCTCTAGAACCAAACGGAAAGACCACTGTTTAGATGGTTCTTATCTTTTATAGGAATGCGCGATGGCACACAAAACTTGCAGTCATCATTTGCCCTGCCCTGTGGATAGAGGTGACCATGTCAGTTCCAGCCGCTGGTCCGCTTTTCCCTGCCACTGCACAGCAGAGCAGGTGCTGGATGGCTTTTTGTAGCAACAGCTGAATTCCACTGGCTACGAAAAATGCGATACCATCGACAGGATTTGTTTTTCTTGTTATCATCAAGCTAACAAAAGACAATTCTTCAGGATCACGCTTATCTATGCCTCAGACTTCATATGTCAAACTGCAATAATTTCTTAGCAGAGTGAAAAATATTCACTGCTTGAGAACAACATTTTTCCCCCTTTCTAGGCAATCACTAAACTTCAAATAGCCATTGGAGAATAGCTTCGCTCTACACCCTCCCATCAAATTATTAAACACACACACACCACACACACCCCACACACAATTTTCAAGTAGCAGGAAATACGACAACATACACAGCATTTAAAACTGGGTAGATAATCTTAAGATTGGATATTTCATTTCACCCAAGGATAAGGAAAATGCCTTAGTAAATAAATATGTCTTCGATAAAGAGAACATTTTTCTCTCTCTTTTCTAATTCTCTACCATCTCAGAAAAGGGAATTTTCTCCTTGAAGTTATTAAAAAGAAATAAGGACAGGACTGTTTTTTAGGGGAATCATTCCAATGGAATGACTCTTAATTCTTCATTGCATACAATTGCTTAAAGATGTTCTAGAACCCAAGACTTTCTTTCCTTCACCCCAATTCCTGAAGCCCTATAACCAAGAATGCTGAGCAATCCCACATTTCTTCCAGGACTTGACAGAATCCCCAGTGGAATCAGATACCATCTCCCCTACCTGAAAAATAGTTTCCTTCAGTCACCTCCACTTTTCTAGGCAAAGAGTTTGGATTTAAGGAATTGATGTAAGAATTCCAAGTTTGATCCATGGTGTTTAAGGTGATTTCTCCTGGAGAACATAGCACTGCTCAAGGAAGTGAACTATGAACAGAAAGTGTCCCTTGCCAGCAGGTGATCTGCCAGGGGACAGTGACCCTGAGTGCTGTGATAGGAAGAACAGGGAAGTAAGTGGTTCCACTGGCAGAGAGGCCATGGTACAGGGGTTGACTGCTGGGAGGGGCAGCCCCCTGATCTTCTGGGAAATGCTCTCACCCAGCCCTTTGGGAGTGTCTTTCAGTTAAAGGACTCCAGACTCTTAGGTGCATGCATTTATCTAATTGTTGACATGCAGTCTGGGGTGGAATTGACATCTGCATTTCTGCTAGGCCGCTGGCTGACACTGGTATGGCTGGCCATCACTCTTCGAGGAGAAGGTTCCAGAGATGTGAGCACTAAGGGCGCTATCCTAGGGTGGTCTGCAGGTCCATAGTGTCAGCTTCACCTGTGTGCTGGTTAGATGTGGCAGCAAGCCCAGCCCACCTGGCTGACCTGACACACAGTGAGCTCCGAGGGGATGTTCTTTCATGTGGACAAGCTCGTTAGAGATGCAGTCTCAGGCTTCACTGGACATGTTGAACCAGAGGTGACTTTCCCTGCTCCAGAGCCACCATGACAGCCTCACGCTCAGAGCTGAGCCCATCCCTCCCAAGCTGTCTTCAGGGCCACCACACACCGCAGGCACCACACCTCCGTCTGCACTGCACTATGCTTGCCAGCCAGTTTTTTTACCTTTTATTCTGATATTTCTTCTGTTTTATTTGATTAGAAGAATCACATATATCTATTGCAGAGAATTAAAGGGTAAAGAAGAGAACAGTCCCCCCAAATCCCACCTCCTTTATTTATACTTTTAGTATTTTCTTCTTGCCTTTCCCTCTGTGAAATGCTGGAATGCCACTTTTTTTTCATTTGATATTGTTTTTGGTTTGAAAAGCACCTCATAAACATAATTTTAATTCCTATACTTAAATAGTAGGCATTAATAAACTCTTTTGTACTCATGCTAGACATTGGGTCATTTAAAATTTTTTTTCTATACATGCAGGGAAGATCTTTATATTCATTTCTTATTTCCTTTGGATAAAGCCCTGCAAGTGTAATTACAGTAATTACTGAGCGAAATGATTTTCATGTTTGTAAGGCTTTTGTTATCGAATACCAAATCACTTTTCAGAGAGTTTTAGATAGTTGAAACTCTTACTTATCCACTGGGGCTCCTCCCAGCTTTGGGAGCCACTGGTTCCGAGCATTTGCTGACATGGTGAAGGACATGTCTCTCCTCGGTGCTCTCATGTCTTTATGTGGTGATGCACACCCAGTCATTTGCATGCTTGCTCATTTGCACACTCAGTCTTCCTGGAATGGTACCTGTGAGTTTCCCACATCCAAAGGCAACTTCCCTTCCCCCCATGTCTGCTCTGTAAAATCTCCCTCTGTCTCTGGGCATCTCCTGGCCACAGCCAGAACAGCCTTTCTCTGCAGGGTGGCCTTATGCGCCCAGGGCTGGTGCTCCCTGGCACCAGGCCCACATCCAGACCTGACCCTGGTCACAGGTAACCAGTTCCACAGCCAGCCCAGTGGTTGCTGCGGTCCATCTCTTACCTACAGTCTCCAGTGAGTGCCAGAAGGGCCCCTAATATGTAAGCAGGCATGTGTGCATGGTGGTGCACGCAGAGACCAGGAAAGGATGCCTTTCCTCCTGGTGATACAGGCGTGCAGACCTTGGTGGGGAGAAAGGGCTGGGTTTCAGCCCCGGGTGACCTTACACAGCACCAACTTGCTGGAAAGCATCCTGAGCAGTGAGCTCCGTTCTATGAAATCGCCCTGGGCGTGAGACGGAAGAGCTACCCCTCCCCGTGCCAGTGACCTCTCTGCAGGACCCTTTCTCTCTTCCCATCTCAACAGCATCCCCCTTGTGGTGGGTACTGAGCGAGGGGCTGCCAGCCACAGACTCCCATCACCATGGCAGCCGCTCCCTGTAACTAACTTCCTGCTGTCTTATTGTTCCTTTCATTGTACAGCTGGACTTCCTGTCTCTAAATGCCGACATTGCCTCTTGCCACCCCCTGTTGCTGCTGGCCTGGAGTTGGTGCCCACCCGCCTCTGCCTTAGGGAAAGCAGCTGTTGCACCATGATACGGGCGGGTCCCCGCCTCGAGCCCGAGGAGGAGGACAGGAGAGTAGCATAGGATGCTGGCTTAGAGAAAAGAATCAGCAGAGAAAAACAGCTTGTCTTGAGAGCGACTGGAAAGAGGGAGAAGTCATGACTACACGACAGTCATCTCGGAGAGGAGCTCCATGGCAGATCTCCTTTCTGGTGGTCAAGATCATTAGAAATAAACAGAAATGACAGTGGGTGTCGCAAACCTGCTGTGGCTGCACGGGCATCTGTGAGCCATGCTTGAGGTTACAACAGGGATCTGATGGGGATGAGGTCGGTTCGGCTGCTGCAGGTAGCTGAGAAAACAAGGCAAGATGCTGGGCTTATGCCTTTTCTTCTGTAAGTTTAGTTTCTAAATGAATGGCTGGGATGCTTATAACCACACCAAAAAGTAGCATCATTTCAGTGGCCACCTCCTTAGTCTTCTCTGCACATTCCCTGGAGCAGGTGCAGGGGCAGGGGTGTCTCTTAGTCTGTGTCCTGGGGCTATAACCAAGTCCCTAAGACCAGCTGAGGTGGAAAGAAGTCTGTTTGCCTCAGGGATTTGTAGGCCGAGGTCCAAGAGCCGGCGCTGCCACCTTTCATGGTCTTCTTGTTGTGACCTAACATGGCAGAGTGTGACATGCAGAGACACAGCAGGCGTGCAAGCTGGAGGCTCCTCCTCTTTCACAGTCACTAATGCTGTCATGGACACCATCCTCACAACACCATCTCCGAGGCATCAGCCCATGTACCATCCATACGTGTAGAGCTCGGGGATTAAGTGCCAGCGTGAGCTTTGGAGGGGACATTTAACCATGGCAGGGCAGGCCTGCTGGATGAGTGTGAGAGAGGTGGGGAGGAAAAGCTTTCTGGGGCAACGGAGCCCCCAGTTCTCTGCTCACTTGGCATATCTGCTTTGTTCCAGCCCTGCCTGTGACATTGGGCTTAGGGGTGATGGCCGTTATCCCAAGGCTGTGAGGGGGGCATCTCTCTGCAAATGTCCTTAACAGCAAGCAGCTCCAAGCTTGAAACACAAACACGAGTCTGAAAAAGATGCTCGGACCCATCCCGCTGCCAGAGTCTAAAAACAAGACAAACCCAAGAAACTGAATTTGGGGCAGGTCATGTTACTGGGTTGGTTGTATTGGCTGCGGCACATGATTTTCTTTCTTTACGGGAAGCAACTTTCAGTCAAATAAAAGATTCGAAGAAACTAATAAAAGTGAACTTTGAGCCCTCTTGGTGGCTGAATCATACAGGGACAGGAGTTTTGAAGGTGTGGACTTCCTGCGCAGGCCAGAATTCAGTACAAATTCTGGAAATATTCTGAGAAGCCCTGTCTTTTAACAACCTGTCTCTTCGTGGTTTTGATGTTCTTTTCAAAGCTTTCAACACAGTCTGGAGAAGGTGTCTTGCTTGTGTCTCATGTATTGTCAGGTTTCTACTTGACAATGATAATTATCTGGAATCAGTATATAAATTCTCCCTCCCAAAACAATGACACTAATTCCAACAGCAAATTATGTTGGAGTAAGTTATACCAGCGAAAGCGAAAGGCTTGTGGGTCACCGTGTGGTGGAAAGCACCATCTTTGCAGTGTTTAAGTTCTGTGCAGAGGTGTTGGGCGGCCTTTGCTGGAATGTGGAGAGCGGTGGTTGGGAAGGCAAGCTGGCCTCTGCCTCCACCCTCAGAGGGGGACCCTGAGTTCACCATGTCACGGCCTGTGCAGAGCGCTCTGACTGCAGAAAGCCGTGGCGAATGGGTGTTGAGGAGGGAAAGCGGGACAAGTGCTGTCTAAGGGCGGCAGCTCCATGGCCACCGGTAACCAGAGGCGGGAGGGATTTGACAGGTCTCTCCCGTAATGGAAAGGACCAGAAGTTCAGCCCAGCTTCTCACCTGACCAGGGGACACGTTTCCCCGGTGCAAATGCAGAGGCCTCAACTGCAGAAAGACCAAAGGAACTTGGTGAGTTATCACATCAGATGGGATATACATTTCCATCTGGCCGAATTTCACTCCAATCCCAGAGGCTCTGCATGAAATGACCCTGGGCTGTGCAGTCACCGAGGAAGACCCCAGGCCCCATCACTCACTGTCTGGAGCCCTGGAGGAGGAAAAGATGCCCTTTTGGTCCCTAAGCCAGCATCCTTGAGAGGGACCCGCCACTCTTGTTGTGTTTCTGCTCCACATATGACCCTCAGGGTTGCTGTTCTGGCAGAGACCATCATACCCAGCACCATGGCCGTTCCCCCTCTGGTTCCCTGTGCACTTTGCTCAGGGAAGGCAGAACCTACCAGTGCTCAGGATTTTGCAGCAGGCAGTGGACATGTGACCAGTGCTGGCCAATGAGCTGGAGGTACGTCAGTGGTAGGAATGTGGCTGCACAGGCAGAGGCTGGAGTGACTACTCGAGAACAGCAGGGAACATACTGGAGCACAGAAGCAAACTTCAGGGCTCAGCCAGACACCACACAGAGCCCCAGACATTACCGATGCCCCTGAACAGCGAGACCCATGTGAGAGCTCGTTTCCAACCTTCCTGTCTGCGAAGGAAACGAGCCCTTCTTTAACTCTTCATTGGGGTCTTACTATTTTTGGCTGTGCCCAGCCTAGCATTCAATTACTAACCCTCTTCCAATGCGGTCTTCAGTTTATATACTTTGTGCCTCTGTCCATGTGGAAGAGCATGGTGGAGATAGAAATCAAGAGGAAAATACTGGTTATATTGGAGGTACAGGGTGAGATCAAATGTAAAAGGGCAAGAGAAAAACAAAGAAAAAAATGTAAATGGTTTAAAAGTAGAAGCTAATAAATTTATTTAAATGAAAAATAAAAGATTGCTAAATATATGTATGTATT